CTCTATTTAGAAGTTTAAGAAGTATGGACTTTTTCACTATATTGAGTCTTCCTACCCAGAAGCAACTGATGCCTTTCCACTCTCTTATATTCTCGTCTATGTCTTTTTTTCAGAGTACTGCAGTTTTCAGTATAAGAGGTCTTTTGTCTCCTTCATTAGATTGATCCCTAGATATTTCATTTTTTTTGGTTCATATTGTGAAAGGCATTGTTTCCCTAATTGCAGTCTCAGAGAGTCTCTTAATTGAGTAAAAGAAGGCTATTGATTTTTCAGTATTTACCTTGAATCCAGAATTTTACTGGAGCTGTCAATTAAGTTTAGAAGACTTTTGGCAGAGTTTTTTGGGTCTTCTATGTAGAGTATCACATGATCAGCAAATAATGACTAATAAACTTCTTGTTTTACTATCTTTATTGCTTTTATTTCTTTCTCTTGTCTACTTGCTGTGGCTGTTTCCAAAACTATATTGAAGGGGAGTGGTGGTAGTGGACATCTTGTTCTTCTTCCTGATTTTAGCATGAGGTTTTTTGTGGGTTTTATTTTTTATATTTATTAAGTTTATTGGTACATTTTAGATATACAATACAGTTGCATTCATCATTGGGATCTTGCAACTTTACATGATGTATTTTGATTCTTATTTTTTCCTCATTCCCCAGCCCTCACTTTGTCCCATCTACCCTTCCCTGTTTACAAATATATTGTTTCCATATGTTTCCTTTTCTCATATATTTTTCTTTTGCCTTCTTAACTTTTCCCCATTCCTCCCACTTCCCCTATTTTTAAAAATATTTTCTTCCTATCACACAGTATCAATTAGACATTTTGATCCTTATTTACACTTTTAGTTTTTCATACTTGTGATACTATTCATTATTTACACATGTATGACTTATTAATGTCACTTAAGAGTATGGTCATAATGTGCATCCACTTAGCTATGAATTTGTACAGTCTCCCATTCTTTATAGCTGAATAGTACTCCATTTTGAAAAAAAAAAACACATCTTTATTTATCCAGTCTCCACTTCATGGCAATTGGGCTATTCCCAAATTTTAGCTATCACAAACTGTGCCACTATAAACATGGGTGCACATATAACTCTATGATATGATACTTTTACTTCTTTTCAGAAGATACCCAGCAGAGCAGTAGCTGGATCAAATGGGACTTCTAACACTAGCTTTTTGAGGTTTCTCCATACTGATTTCCACAGTGACTACACCATTCTACACTCCCATCAACAAGGAAGATTTCTTCCTATCTCCCCACCAGGCCACCAGCATTTGTTATTGGTTAGTTTCTTGATAGCAGCCATTCTTACTAAGCTGAGATTGAATCTCATTGTTCTTTTCTCCTGCATTTCTTGAATGATCAGTGAGGTTGAACATTTTTTCATATGATTATTTGTTGCTTTTCTTCTTTGTCTGAAGTAAAATGTCTGTTCATTTCAGATGCACACTTTTTAATTGGGTCTTTATATTTGGGGGATTGCATTTTTTTTAGTTCTTTATATATTCTAGATAGTAGACCTTTGTCTGAAGACCAGGTGGTAAAATTTTTTCCCACATTGTGGTTGTCTTTTAGCTCTTCTTGTGATTTTACTGACAGTTCAGAAACTTTTTAAAAGATGAAATCCTGTTTGTTGTTTCTTAGTTCTGGTTACTGTGGTACTGAGGATTTGCTCATAAAGACTTTTCCTACACTGATATCTTCAAGAGTAATCCCTAATTTATCTTTCAGCAAATTCAGTTTTTCAGTTTTAATATTTGTATCTTAAATTCACTTGCATTTTAGTTTAGTGCATTGTTTTCTGTCTGTTTTTCATAAATTGTCTTTATCAATTTGAGATAAAGACCATTATTATTATTTCCTGCATGTCTTTTATGAATGAGTGCTGAATTTTGTTAAACGATTTTTATGCTTCTAATGAGATGAACATATGGTTTTGTCCTTGACTCTGTTAATATAATGTATTGCATTTATTACTTTATGTATGCTGAGGCATCCTTGCATCCCTGGGATAAATCCAACTTAGTCAGGGCACATGATCTTCCTCATGACTCTCTGTGTTCTGTTTGCCAGTATCTTAGTGAGGATTTTTGCATCTATGTTCATTAGGGAGATTGGCCTGTAGTTGTTACTTTTGGTTTAGTCTCTCCCTAGTTTTAGAATCAAAGTAACACTTTCTTTCAGGAATTAATTTGGCGATATTGCTTCCCATTCAATTTCATTAAAATGTTTAAAGAGGAGTGGCAATAGGCCACATTCTTAAGTGAAATTAATAAGTCACACATGTGCAAATAACAAATAATTTCTCTGGCATGAAAATCTAAAAGTGTAAATAAGGGTCAAATGTATAATTTATTTTGTGTAACAGGAAGAAAAGGTTTCAAAAAGCAGAGGAATTTGGAGGAGTAGGACAAAGGTAAAAAGGGAAAAGAAAAATATATAAAATGGAGAAACACTGAAGCAATGTCTTTGAAACAATGGAAGGGTGAAGCAAGGGCAAATGAATTGGGGAAAATAACGACCAACATATGTCCTGTAAAGGTACAAGACCCCAGTGATGAATGGAACTGTACTGTATACCTAAAATGTACCAATAAAATTAGTAAAGATAAAAAGAATTAAATTAAAAGTACAAATATTTTAGTAGTGCCATCGTATTGGAAATGTGCATTTCTTTTCAAAAGGAAATAAGCCAACTCAGTGTATGCGACAGGAAAAGTGAGAGCATTTGTAAATGTATCATCAAGATGTTAAATTTGACAGTAAAGCAGTAAAGAGTGAATATCTTTTCTCTCATCATGTTCTGCATGTCATGTAATTGTTATTTTCTCAGATGAAATTCTGTTAAAACCAATGCCCTGTTTCTAAATCATTAGCTATGGGAAATGTATTATCTTGTTAAATTCAAGAAAAATAATGCTCACAACTCACTTGGATATTGAAGATGGAAGGTCTGTCCTCAGATAATGCAGACAGACTAAATATATCAAGAGGCTCTTGTTCAAGAAGATTCATTTCTCTTAGAAGATGTAGTTTTTTTCCTGACAAGGGAGGGATATTGCGACAGAATTTTATGTACAGAATTATATAGTCTTTAAATATATGGGGTCTGAATATCTCATCATTAGACCACCATTTTTTTCTATCATTCTGATCCCAGAAGCACATAGACTTAGAGACCAAGAAGATACAAGTATGGCATTAATGATGGCTCATTTTTTTACTGCAAAGTACAGTTGTATAGTATTTATTTATCTCCTGTATTTATGTTTACTTTATTTCACAAGGTTTGCAAGCACAAATCATAGAAATTTTCTAACTAATACCAGCCTTACATTATATCTATAAACAAAAGCACCCCTATCCATTTCATAGCATTAAGAAGATTTACTGAACTTTAGGTATGAAAATATATCCTATTTATGTGAGGAAGGATGATTATAAACCCTACAAACACTGTTTTCTTATGATTCTTGTGTGTGTGTGTGTGTGTGTGTGTGTACATGTGCTGAGGGTTAAAAGATCAAATATTGTGGACAAATTATGTCACTGGAGTTTAGTTTTTTTAAAATTACTGTATACCTCTCAATTATATTTCCTTGTTTTTTTTTTATGTTTTTTCACCACTTTTACCTAACCATCATAGTAAAACCAAACCCAGTCTTTCTGCTGCAAAAAAAACAAACTTCACCCAGTTTTGCTAGAATCTTCAGAGCCAACCATATATAACCATATATAAATAATGCCCAGCATTCAACTTAAGACAGAGGTGTCTTCTGGGTTATCTATAGGGAGATGCCCTATTACTGAACCTGGCAAAGGGCACTCAGCTTTCTTTATGGGGGATCTTGTTGAATTTGAACCTGGCATGCCCTGAAGCTACCTGATGTGTTAGTCATATTTGCATTACTTTAAAAAGTATTTGAAGTAATCAACTTAATGAAAGAATGCTTTATTTTTGTTTGAGCTCTTTGTGGGTGGCTGGTCACTTTGTGTAGGAGACAGTGCTGTGCTGAATATTCCGATGAGGAGCAAATGTTGATGAACCAGTGCTGTTTAGTTCATGGTAGATGAGAAGAGAGGAGCAATTATTTGGCTTCCCACTATCACCTGCTGGGGCATGGCCATAGGACCTAATTTTCTCCTGTTGGCTCCAACTGTTACAGTTACCAGCAGTACTCAGGCATCAGAAACTGGGGAACAGGTTTTTAATACATGGGCCATTGGGAACATTTCAAATACAAACTACACCTAGGAACTGGTGGCTGTGAGGAAAGCAGTGCTAAGAGGAGGCCAGATCATGAGGGCTGAATGAGCCTCTAATCATTGACACCTTTGTGAATTCATAATACTGTACAATAATGCTTTCTATGATTTCTTTTTCTAAAGAGAAATGAAGGTATTTTCTTTGATAAAGTTCAAAATCTCTAATATCTTAAAACACTTCAAAGCATTCACATATTATAAATATGGAAGTAATATAAACAATGAAGCTGAACAGGGGAGATGTTAACATGACCTCAGAAGATCCAATTACTGGGAAAATCTCAATAATTAATAAAATATGTATGAAAGTTCAGATCATTAGCTTCATATGGATTAAAACTCACAAACTGATTCCAACTATGGAATCATGTAGAATCATGCAGAAGCTCATCTCCAGATATCAACCCATACTATCATATTTATCCCTTTTCCATCCAGTACTTTAGCATTATTTTTCTTAAACAAATATAAAAATAACTGCTAAAATTGAAACCCCAAATCATGTTTTCCTATGAAATTAGAGCAACATAACTGAATTCAGATATGTAAATCTTTTGCCAAATATTACAGTATTGTATGAATCTAAAAGAAGCTTGAATTGCAAGTCAAAACGTGTTTAGGCACCATATTACCCAGTTCTTTTGAAAGATCTTGGTGACTTAACAGTCAGGTGTTCTCTCTCACCTATGTTCCTCTTACTTTATCACATTCAAACTCAAAGCTATGAACACAAGAATAAAAAAGGCTTCCCACTAATGAGATGCCTTAGAGCTATCTTCATTTCTCTGTTCCTCAAGCTGTAGATAAAGGGGTTTATCATTTGAGGGATCACAATGTACATCACTGAAGCCACTGCATTCTTAGTGGAAGAGTCAACAACAGTAGGACTCAAGTGCACACCAAAACCTGTCACATAGAATAAGAACACAACAGAGAGGTAAGACCCACAGGTAGAAAAAGCTTTATACCTTCCCCCCACTGAGTGCATTCTGAAAACAGAGGAGACAATTTTAGAATAAGAGAAAATAATTCCAGCAATAGGAACACCAAAGAATATGTTTGCTGCTGAATATACCATAAGAGTATTGATAAAGGTATCAGAACAGGCAAGATTGATGAGTTGAGCAAGTTCACAGAAGAAGTGAGGGATTTCCACATTTGTGCAGAAGGACAGCCTCAGTGCCATCACAGTGTGAAGCAGGGCATGTACAGTGCTAATAAGGAGAGAAAGAACAAGTAGCAATACACAGAAGTCAGAGCTCAAGATGACCTGGTACCTTAGGGGCTGACAAATGGCAACATAGCGGTCATAGGCCATTACTGCAAGGAGACAATTTTCCATGCCACCAAAAATCAACACAAAGCTAACCTGGGAGAGGCAACCTGTGTAGGTGATTTTCTGATCCTGTGTTTGGATGCTCACCAGCAGTTTCGGAATTGTAGTGCTACTTAAACAGATGTCATTAAGGGACAGGTTGGAGAGAAAGAAGAACATGGGGGTGTGGAGGTTGGAGTCAGCTCTTACAGTCAGTATTATGAGCAGATTTCCCAGGATGGTGATCAGATACATGGACAGGAACAGGCAAAAGATGAGGGGCTGCAGCTCTGAGTCATGTGTCATTCCAAGGAGAATCAATTCTGAGGCTGCTGTTTGGTTTTTGAATTTCATATTTTTTGTGAAACTGAAAGAGATGAGGTGAAAATAAAATGAAACAAGCATTTTATTTATAAGCTGCAGTAAATTTTGTAGGTAATATAAAGAAAATTTTTGAGTATTTTCTTGGATGTGCATTATACATGATCTGTGAATGAGCATATGCATTTTATGTTGAGCATATAGTATGAGTGAATGAATATTTCCATAGCTTCTTTTGCCAATTAAATTTATTGTTATAATATATTTACATTCATCAATATAGTTACATTCATAATATATTCATCATTATGATCTTGATGATGTACCTTGGTTTATTTTTCCCCATTCCCCTGCCTTCCCTTCACCCCCTCAACTCTTACCTATTTATAGAGCCTCTGTTTCTATTTTTTCCTTTTCTCATATTCCTCATTTTCCCTTCTTTCCTTTAGCCTGTTCCTCCATACCTCTTTAGACATTTTCTTCCTATTTCACAATATCAATTATATATTTTGATCCTTATTTATAATTTTAGCTTTTCACATAGGGGAAACTATTCAGTGTTTACATGTGTATATCCTATTTATTTCACTTAAGAGTGTGGATGGTCTCAAAGTCCATCCATTTAGCTATAAATGCTTCTAGATTTTTAAACAGTGTTTTAAAACAACATATTTTTTGTCTTGTTGTAAAACCATGTGAATTTTCATCTCATTCTCTGATACCTTTCTTTCTCCACTTCTCTCTCTCTCTCTTGTAATTTATATTTCCTTTATTAACCACTCATCTATTTTCAGAATTATGAGATTGTAATAAAGTATAAGACATGGATTGTTCTTTGTAAATAAATACTACTTTAAAAGAAAAAGAAATATGACAATGAACTTATCAAGTCTATCTTCTAGAGCAGCACTTTTCAATCATTTTGACACTAAGGATCAGTTTCATTGAAGACAATTTGTCTTCAGACAGGCAGGAGCATAGCTTGGGGTAATTGAACGCATTACCATTTCTGTACACTTTTGGAATATATTGTAATATAATTTTATAGCTTACCATAATTCAGAGTAAGGAAAATAAAATACCAGGCAAGTCTCATACAAACTGAAATAAGGATTGAATTAAAACATAAAGTCTCTCATCACATGCAGTTTAAATGTCACCCACTTCTTACTCATAGGATTTTTATATCAGCCTACAAGCAATTGATTTATTATGATATGTTCAATGTCAAACATCTCTGCTAAATTTAATCCCTATTTGCATCAATATTCCAGCATTAGCAGCATCACCATCTAAGCAAATCATGAGGCATTAGATTCCCTTAAGGAGTACACACCTGTATTTTGACACTCACACACCTAGTTCTTTACATACACACACTTAGAATCTCACATACACACACCCAGATTCTCATATCCACACACAAAATCTGAGCATTCAAACACCTAAGTCTTCACATGCACACATGTAGATCCCAAACACACACACACACACACACACACACACACACACACACACACACACACCTTGATCCTTGCAAGCACAATTCACAGTGTATGTTTTTGCACCTATGATAATTTAAAGACTCTGCTGATCTCACAGGAGGCAGAGCTCAGGTGGTGATGTAAGGAATGTTGCTTGGCTGTAAACAGAGCAGATGATTTGATCCTTGCTGTGTGAGTCATTTCCTAACAGGGCATGGACCAGTGCATGACCCAGGATTGAGCCTGTTCTTATTCAATGTCTTTAATTTGGGCTAATCTGACTATCACTTGAGTGATTTGTCAATGTATAGATGAGACCATTTATCCTTTAGCCCCATGGACCCATGAGGACAGGTCTTGGAAAGTGTACACACTGTTTGGCAAACACTTGAGGAAACCTCTAGTTTCCAGAGTTCTCACTTGAGACTTCTGATGAACTGTTGCTAGTAGAGAAATAGCATCTGTACATTTATGTAATGATTGTTAATTTCCTGCATAGTTAAAATAGCTTCTTTATGAAATAATTCCTCAAATTACCTCCTGCTTTCAGGCTGTTCCATCAACTATGCATTAAGTGAATTGCAGCATGTGGAAGACAGCCATGCAGGTGGACGTGAGAAATGATTGGAAAACTTCACTTTTGAAGATGAAGCTCATAGAGCCTCTTCTGGAAATACAAGTGATTTGCTATAGCTATTAAATCTAGGAGAAGCTGGATAGCCATGTTGATAACATTGTGCCCCCACCCTATGGGAACTTATTCCCATAATGAGTCTAGAAACATATAATTGAATAAAAAAGAAAAAAGTAATAGCTAAATGAGTGAAAGTAAAATTCAAAGGCTGTATGAAAATAGATAAAAATAGAAACAATAACTTGCTTTCTAGAAGATAGAGTGAATAAGTAAAACAGAGTCAAATATTCAAGCACCCTAATAGGAGTGTCTCTTGTGACCATTGTTTTGTATTTCCTGGGGAAGACAGAAGCAGTTACAACAGCAGTGCTCATTTGGGGTAAAATGAGACTCACAGGCTCTCAATTTAATTTGTCTGCTAGAACTTACTTTTAGGATGCATAAAAATTTTCAATTGCATGGTTCACATTTGTGTAGTGGAAACTGCTTAATGGGTGTGTGCTGAGGTACAGCATGGTGATATTTTAACAATGTGCTTTTCTTCAGCATGCACTGTATATATATTAAACACATTTTTTCTTCTGTAATTGCACCTCTAAAACTCAGGGTTCAAACCCTCAAGGAGACATTTCAAGATATGAAAAATCAGGCAACATCATCCTGTATAGTGCTAGGTATAACTATCCCTAAGTTGACTTTTAAAATATTTGTGTATGTGTGTTCGTGTGGATCTGTGTATGTCATAAGGAATAGAAGATGGAACTTTCCACCCATGAAAAAACAAATGGTCAGTTAAGGTAGTGAGGAAATAGTATGAGAAGACAGGAATTCTTCAGCAGGAGCAATGCTAATATCAGTGAAGGATGTATATGATTAAACTACCTTCAGGATTATTGATTAAGAAAAAGAGTAAGAGGCAGGGGATTTAGCAGTGGTACTGCTGCTTACCACGCAAGCATAAGGTCCCAAGTTGGATCCCCAGTACAAAAAAAAAAAAAAAAAAAAGGTCAGGAAACTAGTGTCAGTATTCTGGGAAACTACTGTCAATATTCCAGCATTCCACTATTCATATGACTACTACAAATGCTAAGACATGTAGAAATAGAAATACATTAAGTACTTAAAAATGAGACACATGTTACACAAAAGTAGGGAGTAACTTAGGAAATACTGGAAAAAATTCCACATGAGAATAAATTAAATTTACTTGGAGCTCCACATTTGTGGAAATTTTTGATATGGATTATCCATACTTGACAGAAATTGCAGAAAATCTTATATGCTTGGCACTACTTACAGAACATCAAAAATAGAAGTAGAAAAAGAAAGTAACAAAAATATCCCCATGTTTTATAATGGCACACTGTAATACCTCAATCTTGGAAACAGCCAAATGCTCATCAATTGGTGAATGGATAAAGAAGATATTTTTAAATGGGGTGCTACTCAGCCATAAAGAATGATAAACTAGAGACTTTTATACCTAAATGGATAATCTTGAGACCATACCTTTAAGTGAAATAAATGAGACACACGTGTAAATACTGAATTGTTTCTGTGTTGTGATAAACTGAAAGTTTAAATAAGGACCAAAAGTACAATTGATATTGTGAAATAGCAAGAAAAGTTTCAAAGAGGAAAGGGAACTATGGAGAGGGTGGTTAGGGAAAGAAAAGAAAGGAGAGGAAAAAATGAGAAAAGAAGGAAAAAGTAAAATCAAAGTTTTTGCAAATATGGAGGGTTGGAGGGGATTTAGGGAGAGGAAAGGCTAATGGAAAAAAGCAAGAACCAACCATTTACAGTTACAAATTCTCAGTGACTAATGTGATCAAAATGTCTACCTAAAGTGTACCTAAATTTAATTAATAAAAAATTAAAACATTACAGACTTCACCATGTCTTGTGAGATATTTTATTTTTAGAAATAATATCAAATTATTTGAAGCCCCTTAGTAAATATTTTATAAATTCAATTTATTTTTACTTCTGCATGGAAAAAATCATAATAAATCAATAGCCATCATTCTCTCTGAATTATCATTTCTCTAGTATTACTCTTCCAAAGAATTGTCTTCATGGTATTGTATTTTTAAAAGTTCAGATAACAGAATCATATTGTATATTTGTCCCATTTACAACTGATGTGCCAAACTATTTTTATTTTGCTATGCATTGTTCTTATACTTCTGCTTATTTAATGTTAATTATCAGATTGTCCCATTAGATTTTACAGCCCAATTTACCTCTAGCTTCTTTAACTGTTAGGTTAAATGGGTACTGCGTCTTACTGATGACTAAGTGTAAAACTAGGAGCCCTACATGAGGGACATCACCAAAATGTTCTGATTTCAGAAAAGAAGAATGAAATGGTTGACCAGGGTGGTGAATTGGGCATGTCTCATTTTATTATTTCATATAGAAAGATCTGAATAAATCCAGCACATTAAAAACATAGGTTAACTGTGAGAGGGAGATGGACACTCAGGTTTTGGGTGTTGCTATTTAGGTGATTTCTGCTGTTCCTATTGGCATGAAACATGAGATCAACAGACCTCTTGTTGAGCTTCTTTCTCCTCTTCCTTATGCAGAGTCCTTACAACCCCATTACAAAAAAGCCCAGAAAATCTCTTCAAAGTCAAGAAATTGCTATAAAATGTCCTCACGCAGGTTCTAATAATAAAGGGAGAGACTTTGGCTTACCTGGAAGGATTCAGTGACAAAGGTGCTTGGCAAGTCACTGCACGTGGAAGACCACTGATCTGTCCTTGGGAAGGGCAGACACATGGACTGAATTAGTGAGATCTACAAAAGCAGAGTCCATCTCTGGCAGAGAGAACAGCTGTCGCTGCCTGTCTGGGCTGGACTTTTGAATGAGGTTTTCATAGCCTGAATCCCACAGGTTCTGTATCTCCCAA